TAATTCCTGGAGGCCAACAGTTACTGTAGTAGATCTCCGTTCTTGTGCATGTTTTCAGCTGAGTGCACACGGTTATAAATTACTGGTCTTTCTCCCAAGGCAGTATTTCTGGACCTGGTGGGGTTGTGGTCCCAGCATTCTGGGCACTGTGCAGACTTGTCAGAAGAGACAGCCCAGCCCTCCTCTGAAGGACTTGCAAGCCTTACCACGTGGAGCAAGTCTCCTTCCTGCATTTGTGTATCTTTGTGCATTCGAAACTGTTTCAATTATACCTACTTGTCCTTTAACCTGTTCTTAATTAGCTGTCGCTATTGTAGAAGAAATGTATGCGTATGGAGATCAAAATATTTTAAAATAGAAACTCAAAGGGTTTGATTGTGGATTTCCCTTTCTTGTTTTGATTCCTTTTCTTTTCATATCAGCGCTATTTCAGTTATCGGTATCATCACTGTATTGCTTGTAATTACTTTCTGAGGAAGAACGTCAAATGTTCACTGTTTCTATTCAGGCTATTAATATTGCTCTATCAATCATCCCCTTTTGAAAATTATAATAAATTCTGCCCTTCTTTAGATAACTACTAAAACTTCCCAGTTTTCCTTCTCCCCCAAAGCAGCAGGAGAAAATAGATTGCAGCATTTTAAGAAAGTCACCTTGTTCCTTGTGTGAACTGGTCCTGTGGCACATGAGAAATCAAGAGGAGTTGGAATTCTCCCTGTTGTCCGAGATGAGTTCCCAGCCTTTTATGCATTAACTGATTTAGATTTTATCTAAGGGGTCTTGATACTCTGCTAGCACCTAGACATTCTGTAAGCTGTGCAGAACCATGCAGCAAAGGGCAGTGGTAAGATTTGCCCTTCCCTTCACCCATTCTTCAGATCTGAAGGATGGAGACTTACACAGTTGGGAGTGTCTTCAACTGTCAGCTGATGTTTAGTATGTTTGGACCCTGGCAAAGCAGGCTGGAAGAACAGGATAGATGAAGTTAAATCCAGGTCTGAAGACAGCTCGCTGATGTGTTCATAAAAGCCACTCCATCTAGTGGCAGCTGCTTTGCACAGCCAGTCTGACAGTGCCAGCCAGAAGCCTCAGGTTTAGGAGAGAAGTAGCACTGTCTAAAATGGTGTGCAGCTATTGGCTTTTCTGGTTTTATTCTTCAGGATAAAAGACACTTGAGGTTTTTATCTTTTTTTTTTTTTTTTTTTTTTTTTTTTTTAAATCATGATCCATCATCAGAATTCATTACTGCGAGTTGCTGCGTGCTCTCACATAAATACACTGACAGTTTTGAGTGCCGGCATCGGCAAGGGCTCTTACTCATCTTTAATCATCATTTCTGTTCTTCTTAGAGCCATTTTAAAATAAGCAAAGTTGTAGAGGTCGTCGAGGAAAAGGAGCAAGCTGAGAGCTTCAGGGACTCAAATCCTCAGCAGGAAAAGCGGCTCCTGGCTGGGCAGGAGGGCTTTCCCTCACCAGGCTCTGGGCTTAGCTGCAGCATAGAGCCCTCTCCCAGAGCCTCTCTCCAAAGGAGGGATTGACACGAGGGGCCCTCATCTGCCAGGGAGGCTGTGAAACGCTTCAGGGCTCCCAAGGGCAATGTTTGTGGGTCTCAAGTCATTGGTTTGTGTTGAAGGGAAGCCAACGGGGAAGAACTGGCCATGTGGCTTCTGATGGGGCGCTCCTAGCTCAGGGCCATGCCTGCCAGGTGCACATCTGTGCCTGCAGACAGTGGAGCTCAGTACTGAGCATTGTGTGGTACCAGCCCTCAGACCTCACCAAACAAAGGGACCAACTTTTTGGTCTGTGCTAACCTGTGCATCACCTCAGACCCTAAACTGGACACTTCTGGTAGCCCCGATGGCAAAGTCCAGCCTTGTTTTCAGTAGGCAGCCAAGGAAAACATTGTTTCAGTGCATTTCAGTATTGTAATTTATACTGGGACAAGCTAGCATCTAAATTAAAATGTACTAAATTCCAGTGAAGTACAATTCCAGATCACGTGAATAGCTGTTTTACTGCAACTTTAATAAAAATCAACTGCTGCTTGAATAGGTGCGTGCACACATACTGCTAGAAATTTCCAATTATGATATTCCCAGCAGCAAACAACAACAAAATTAATGTCAGCTGCATCCCCCAAAGCCTAAACTGCACCACTAATGAACTCTCAAGTACTCTCAAAGAAAACTCTTTGCAGAGACAATAAGGTAGAAATTACTGTAATAATCTGAATATAAAAATACTGAGAACAGAAATCATTGAAATTCAAAGTAAGACTTGCCTCTCCTGATCCCATTAACCACGTTGTTAGCATAGCATATGCATGCATGGTGATATTGTCACATAGCTCACTGACACCTCTAAAAGAGCATAGAGGAATCCTTGTTGTTTCATTTGTATTTCAAACAGAGGTAGGGCTTGTAGCAGGGCTGGCACCTTATGATGAGGCCATATACTTAACGTGCCTTCAGCGGGAACTAACTGCCTCGTAACAATTTGTTTGTCTGTCTGGCAGAAGTGTTTCGTTGCATACAATTTTCAAAGCTTTACTCAAACATAATCTTCTCGACATGGGGCTGTGGCTGTATTCATTAAAATGGTTGTCTTTCTTCTGACAGAAATAAGCCAGAGTGTGTGAGTACCACAACCATCATTACATGCTTACAGAATGACTTGGGTTTTGTTCTTATTCTCGGTATCTTTCAAATGAATACCATTTTCTTCACTCCTGGTTTTAAACTGATGTTATAAAGCCAAGTCCAAAGTTGCCAAATTTTACCCAACCCAAATTTTACCTTGTCAGCAGGGTCATTTTTGCAACATACACAATCTTCGAAAACTACCAGGAACATCTGGAAGGTGCCTTCTGGAAGAAAAGTACCTTATGTGTTAGATGATTGCAGTTCATTTTTAATGTGCACTTCAGCGGCATTTCCCTTCTGCACTAATGAAGCCCTCAGAATTTAATCCCTTAATATATTTCAAACTTATCTAATAATTATTTTATTTCTTGTGGAGCAACAATGTCTGTGAAAGCTGACAGTGAGTATCTGTGTTGCATATGGGACTGTCCTGTGCATCCTGGCTTGTTTGTAGCCCTTCTTGCAAGCGGCACCAACATTGCAGTGTCTTCTGAAAGTGAGGGTTCATATTCTTCCTGTATTGCTACGTGTCTAGGCCTACTGAATAGGATGGGAAACATTCTATTAATGAACTATGGAGGCAGTCTCAGTTGTTAGATACCAAGTCAACACGCACTATAAATATATCAGTTGCCAAATGATCTTGGCTTCTTTTGGAAATCCTGATGGTTTCTCCTCTTTTTAAGTGTTATTACAGAATTGTAGAATCATAGAATTGTGTAGATTGGATGGGATTTTAAAGATGGTCTTGTTCCAGCCCTTTGCACCTCTTTCTTTCAGTTTTTATGGAAAAACTTGGATAAGTACAGAGCATGTTTACTTTTTCAGAGTTGTGATCAGTAAGTACTCTTGATTTTGGCCACTAATCTCTGGTGGCCTTTCTGGACATTTATTGTCAGTTGTGTGAAGTGAAGAAGTTACATCAGCGCAAGGCTGTGTTCAGCTTCAGGGATTTCTTGAGCATCTCAGACAATTTTCTCCATTCTAAAAGCATGAAAAAGTTTGCTTTTGTTATTGCTGCTGATGTAATCATCTGAGTGTCCCATAGCAGATGCAGAATAGCTGAAATAATGATTCTAGCTCTTTGCATTCACTGACTGCCACTCTGGCGATGGAAGGGGACCTAAAGCAGGTGTTCAATGTATATTCAGGGAGTGTTGTGTGGATGAAGTTACATAAAGGAGCACAGCGTAAAAAGAGCTGTGAGACCAGTTTTACATGTTGATGTACAGATGATGCTTAGTTGGCGATAAGCATGCTCTCCCAAGGGTACCGTGACCAGGAACTACATCCTGCACAAATCATCAGCCTCAAGCAGAAGCTTGGTGTAACAGAACTCAGAAACCGATGGCTCCCTGGGCACCTTCTGCTGTTTCCCATTTCTGAGGGGACTGAGTGCCTTTGAGGGTGTCCTCAGTTGAAAGAATTACGTTGCCACATTTCTCGTGGGAGCAGTGGTTCTTTGGTCCCTCTCACCCAGAGTTTTGGCCACAGCTTTGCACTGCTGCCAAACTTTGCACCATGTTTTTCTCAGTGAATGTGAACTCTCCTGATGGAGCCTTCCGATCCAGACAGAATGAGTCACTGTTACACCTGCTGATTTTGCAGCGCTGCTCTTTTTCCTGAAACTGTGGAGAGAGCTAGGTAAACACCCACTTTGCCTTGTAGTCTGAGCATCCTGGTTACTTAGGTTTGCTTAGATAGGAATTGAATTGAAACTTTATCCAGGTTTTGCATTTATAGATAAATGTGCTATAGATGCTGATTAATTTTCAATAATAATCTCAGGATCTTAGACCTCAAATTACTGTGACAGAATCATGTGAATGTGCCGGCATACTGGGTGAACTGTGAAATTTAGAGTGTGTGGCTCTTTCTCTGTTCCCTGCATTGTCAGGTTTTCAAAACCCTTGGTGCCTTTTGAAAGGAAAGCAATAAAGGTGATGATTCAGTTTAATGCTGTTCTTGCAGTGGCACTTGGTATTATCTAAATGAAGCAAGCCCAAGGAATATTGGTCTGCAAGGTACTTAGCAATCAGAAGCTAAGTTCAGATCTAGAGAAAAATATCTTCCTGGTGGAGCAGCTCAAAACGTTTTGATGAGAAATGAAAATTAACTTTTGTAGAATACTCAGTGCTTCGTACTTCCAGTTTTTCACCACTTCTAGGGTAATATAATTTTAGTGAAATTCGTGTGATTTTTTCTGAGTGCTCAAGTCATTCTGACTCCCGCAAGTGGTAAAGGGTAGACCTGAACTGAATACAGGAGGAAGGTCAATTTTGACACAGTTCAGCTTAGTTGTTTGTGGAGTTTGTCTCCCTGTGTGTCTTAACAAAGTTTGATCTTTTCCCCTTCTAGGATTTCTTCAGATGTCTTTTTCCATCCTCCAAGTCTCTTTGAAACCAACAAGACTGAGGTTATGAAGTCAATTCTAGATGGCCTTGCAGATACAACTTTCCGAACAATTACAACAGATCTCCTTTACGTGGGCTCCAACGATATCCAGTACGAAGACATGAAAGGCGACATGGCATCCAAGCTGGGATACTACCCCCAGAAGTTCCCTCTCTCCTCTTTTAGGGGTGATCCTTTCCAAGAAAAAATGACTGCAGGAGATGATCCCCTGCTAAGCATTATTCCCTCAGACCAGATCAATATCACAGAGTTTTACAACAAGTCCTTGTCCACGTTTAAGGAAAATGAGGAGAACATACAGTGTGGGGAGAACTTCATGGATATGGAATGCTTTATGATCCTGAACCCCAGCCAGCAGCTGGCCATCGCTGTGCTGTCGCTCACCCTGGGCACCTTCACAGTCCTAGAGAACCTCCTGGTCCTGTGTGTCATCCTCCACTCCCGAAGCCTGCGGTGTAGACCCTCTTACCATTTCATAGGCAGCCTGGCTGTGGCCGACCTCCTGGGCAGTGTGATTTTTGTCTACAGTTTTGTTGATTTCCATGTTTTTCACAGGAAGGACAGCCCCAATGTCTTCTTGTTCAAGCTGGGTGGAGTTACTGCCTCCTTCACTGCCTCTGTAGGTAGCCTTTTTCTCACGGCAATAGACCGGTACATATCTATACACAGGCCGCTAGCTTACAAAAGGATTGTAACCCGACCAAAGGCTGTCGTTGCGTTTTGTGTGATGTGGACCATTGCCATTGTAATAGCTGTTCTTCCACTGCTCGGCTGGAACTGCAAAAAGCTCAACTCCGTGTGTTCAGACATATTCCCTCTCATCGATGAGACGTACCTGATGTTCTGGATCGGGGTCACCAGCATCCTCTTGCTGTTCATTGTCTATGCCTATATGTACATACTGTGGAAGGCGCACAGCCACGCTGTTCGCATGCTTCAGCGTGGCACGCAGAAAAGCATAATCATTCAGAGTACAGAGGATGGGAAAGTACAGATCACTAGACCTGATCAAACTCGTATGGACATCAGGTTAGCCAAAACCTTGGTCCTTATTCTAGTCGTTTTAATCATATGCTGGGGTCCTCTCCTCGCCATAATGGTGTACGATGTCTTTGGGAAAATGAACAAGCTCATCAAGACTGTCTTTGCCTTCTGTAGCATGCTCTGTCTGCTGAATTCGACAGTGAATCCCATCATCTACGCTCTGAGAAGCAAGGACTTGAGACATGCCTTCCGGAGCATGTTCCCCACCTGCGAAGGGACTGCACAGCCTCTGGATAACAGCATGGAGTCTGACTGCCAGCACAAACACGCCAACAACGCGGGAAACATGCACAGGGCTGCTGAGAGCTGCATTAAGAGCACAGTTAAGATTGCCAAAGTGACCATGTCTGTCTCCACAGACACGACTGCTGAAGCGTTGTAAGTCAGAGACTTCTCAGCGTTGTGAGAAAAGGAGTTAGTTAAAAAAAAAAAATTAATTGAACAACAGAGAATACCAAACCCGTGGTGTAACGTGTTTGTACCTCCCTGTAATATCTTTTTGATTTGTCATTGTAAGCTAAGCAATGGTTGTGTTAAGAGTATTACCATCAGCCAGTTCTTCGAGTTTTACAATTAGGGATCCAAGCTAAATTTTCAAAAGTTGTTTTGTTGTTTTCTTTTTCCTCTCAAAAAGTGTTTACTGAATAATAGCGAGTTTCCTGCAAGAGCACAGAAAAAACACCAAGCTAGCAAAAGTTCCTTTTTGGGATGTGAAGAAAAATTGTGAAACCTAATTGAAATCTAATGCATCCTAAATCAATACCATTCAATAAGAAAAAGCCTTGTAATCATGCTGTCCATCTAAATGTGAAATGTATTTCATGTCTGTAAGTAATAGGAGTTTTTGATTTTTTCCAAAAGCGGCAGTGCTGAGTTTTAGAAATTTTGTAAAATGTGTCGTGTCCTGTGAATTGTATGCTGTTTTGTTATGTGTTATTGATATTTGTCCAATTAAACAAAGTGATAAGGTAGATTTATGTGGAAATAATGTGAAATGTGATATGTAAACCCCATTGAAAATACTTACTGTATTTGAAGAGTTCCTATGAGCTATTTTGGAAATTTTACACTTCTAGTGGTCTTCTGTGGATGTAGGGGAGAGGCTTTGCGTTCTTTTACTAAAATTACTTCCCTACTACCTTTTATTTTCACATGCATATGAGAATAACAGCAACAAAGGAATAGAGAAGGAATATAAGAGAGGAATGCTCTGGTTCAGACTTTTAAATACCGCTGCAGAAGGACATTTACTGTTGTACAGACTTATCTCCCTTCTCTTGGGTGTTGTGTGAATATGAACGCTGAAAGCGAAGGTCCTGGATTTTGGCTCCTTGAGTCACATGCTGGTGCTGGACAACTGAAAACAGCATGTGTCCAGCTCCATGTGTGATGTAATCACTGTGCCATCGATGTATACTTGAAGTGTGTTGCATTCCTGTACCCCAGGTTTAAGCCAGTTCAGAGCCTGAGATGCCAGACTCCAGACTTCACTCAAAGAGGAGGAAGTATTGTCAGATTTAGGCATTTTCTTATTGTGTGAGCGTGTATATAAATAAATATCTATGTGTGTGTACGTGTGTGTGTGTGTAAGTATAATAAGTGTGAGTCATGGTAGCATAACTAAGATAGGACACTATGACCAAATGTAAGCTGTATTTCTTGTTGCACGCTTTGCACACAAATTCTGTTTCTAAAATTGAGTTCTTCCAACTGATTGCTGACGAAGGTACCATATTGCGAACATACAGATCCAGCACTAAGGGGTGTATCCATGTGCTAGAGAAAACAACCTTCCAGCTGTGCTTGAGAATGAAATGCAGCGAGACAGAGTCAGGTGTGAGCCAGCACTGACCACTGGAGTGGATGTTGAGGGTGTTATGGAAATGGAGTATGCCAGGAATAAAGGAGCGTTTCAATCCTTTTGTATTCAAATCTGATTGTGTGAAACGAGGTGAGTCTGACTGTGAAACTAGGTTACAGAGGACAAGGTGTGATTTCATCAGCTTCCAAGAAGGTGAAGTTACTTGTGAAAATGGAGACTCTGCTCTATAGAGGAACTGTGTTTGACACCTGGGATTTCCACAAGGAGGATGTTGCTAGTCTTTTAGGCATGGATACTGTCACACATTGAAGGTACTGTGTCCTGTTCTCTGCTGCCTTCCTCTTTTGGACTGTTTCCTCACGCCTTTCCTAACTGCTTTCTGCCAAAATGGCTGTGGATGTGGCCTAGCCCACTAGCTGCCTGGTGCGTGCCACAAGTAGAGTGACTCCCTCAGTGACACTGGGCCAGCAGAGCTGCTGTCCTGCAGTGGGCTTACATAGGGAAGGTGAGCAGGGTGGTAGCCTAGAGGTTGCTGGCCACCAGAATGTCTCCATGGTGTTTGGAAGTGGTAGTGCAGGCCAGAGCAGCTGGTAGCAGAAAAGGCCAAGCTGAGCTTAGCTGGCAGCTCTTTGGTGGCAGAGGTGGCTGTGAGTTCAGGGCATTCAGATACTGTGTGCGGTGGCACCTTGCAGAGATCTCCTCAGGAGAGATACTGTGCAGCAGAAGTTATGGGAGTATTCTCTTCCACCTCCCTCCCTGCAGCTGACCTGAGTGGTGGGACAGGACATCCCGCCCCTAAGTGTGTCAGGGCAGGTCTTTCTCGTATCTAGATGTAGTCCTTCCTAAAGCAATCCTCTTGGAGAGGAGGGGGGAATCCCACTTAAATGTTAAGGTATTTTAAGAGCCATTTTTGAAACTGTCTTCTTGTGAATTAAATGCAAACTTTGTGGACTTTCGTCGTGCATTTGAGTTCTAAATTTTATGTGATAAATCATGGGACAATGGGGCTGTCTTGGCACTTAACTTGGTGCTTACTGATAGAATAAGAAATAGCATCCTGTGAAACGTTACCGTCTATCATCAGGATCTTCATTTGCATAATGAGTTTTTCTAAAGCTCTGGGAACTGTGTCGGTTCACTTAGAACCATTTATTCAAGAGGTGGCAACTATTTGCCTACAAGTTGCACATGGAGTGGGATGGCCAATTCATTAGCAAAACCTGCTGCCGTTCCGAGATAAGCTGTACTTCACCTTCAGCTCCAGCAGTTCCCCATTTGCAGCTGACTACCTTCACCTAGCGATAGCACAGCCAACCTGTGCTCTACGGCCACCCACACTGTCACCACCCAACCAGTGATAGTCGCCATTATGTGTACCTGAAAACTCCAAATGTCGTATAGCTGTAAGAAGATCATTCGTGTTACATGCGTGCAGAGTTAGATTCTCAACAGTCTTGATTGTATATTTGTATAATATAATCCCCGCGACGCTGTGCAATCGATATCTGCGTTTTCTTGCACTGGTCTCTGGATGAAAATTGTAGTGTGTCTGTTGCGAGATAGACAGCGCATTTTGCCTGCTGTTACTGGGCTGAATGTATGTAAATAAGTGGGAAAAACAAAAGTCATCTGTACAAGCAGTGGCCTAAAAGTCTGTAATTGTTGAGTAGGGCAATTGTTGAAGTTGCTGTGACATCTCAAATACTACCTTTGAATAAACTGTTTACAAGGTCTCTTGAGATGCTGTCTCATAGTGAAAGGAAAATACTTCCTTGTGATAATATAACGTAAAGAAATGGGGCTACCTGAGCTTTTTATTTCCAGTGTTTCAAAGTGGACAACATAACTCTTTATTGTCTGTAAATCTAACATTATTACTTCCTCTTAGAAGAATATTGTATCATTAGGTGTTTGTTTGAGCTGGTAACATCCTTGCAACTGCTGCAATATTTTTCACTAGCAACATGTATAATAGTTTGTACACAAGTACTGTTCAGATTGTCATGAAAAGTAGCTTTGACCATTTACCTACCAGTAGCAGAATAGTATTTCTGTAAAATTTCCAGTGTACTACTACCATATCATATTTTATTTCTATAATGTAATTAAACTGTTATTTATTCAAGGAAAAAAAAGAAGCATTTCTCTACTTTTTTTTTTTTGTTTTGTTTTCCAAATTTTGAGGTAATGAGGAAGCCACGTGATGATGCTGCCTCATCCCACAATCTGGTGCTCTACGTTTTGTTTATAAATTTGTCTGTCAGATTCTGAAACAACTGCTTAAACCACTTGACGACAGGTTGTCAAGCTTTGTAGGGTTTAATTGTATGCTGATATCTTTGAAAAAGGAGGTAGATTATGTATTTGTGTATTCAGTACTATGGAGACAAGAGAAATGACATAGTTAAAACTGAATCTCCTGCTCCATTATGTAGGCAATTTCCCCTTTCCTCTGTATTAGCAAAACATGCAATAAATCTCTTTTGCCTTCGTCAGATGCATATGTTTGCACACAGATACCACATTAGAAAAAACTCATACTTAAGAAAGACAAAACACAAAAGAACAGAAGAAATACAAATAAAACAGTGCTGCCAACATCATCAACAACTTAAAGTAGTTTTTGGTGGTATAAAGGCAAGAGGCAAACAAAAATTGGTCTTGTTTTGGCCAATGCCAATGGGTAAAGAGCTATGGGTATGTACTGGGGACGATGGAGCAGTCCAACAACAACGCACAAAAGCTGTGCAAGAAGAACAAACTCAGCCATGCCACTGCTGATTGGACACAATACCAGGCTCCCACCACAGCTGAAAATATGAGCTGAAAAAATGCTTCTACTCTCCTTGTGGTCTCACACGCCCAATCCAAAGCCCAGTGAGTACCACAGAAAGATCACTGCTCATTTAGAGTCAGTTTTCACAGAATCACAGAATCACAGAATGGCCAGGGTTGGAAGGGACCTCAAGGATCATGAATCTCCAACCCCCCTGCCACAGGCAGGGCCACCAACCTCCACGTTTAATACCAGACCAGGCTGCCCAGGGCCCCAACCAATCTGGCCTTGAACACCTCCAAGGACGGGGCATCCACAGCCTCTCTGGGCAGCCTGTTCCAGTACCTCACCACTCTCATAGTAAAGAATTCTCCATACAGTTTAATCTCAGATTGCCTTACTTGGGTAATTTTCCTTCTCCATGTTCATGGTTTTGAATCAGTGGGCATCTTCAGGGTGTGTAAGGAGCATGTCCAATGGTCTTGAACTGTGGTTTTGCCACAGTACGTCTTTTTAAAAATAAGATTACTGATACATTGAAATATCCTTGAAAAGAAAAAGGAACTAGAAATGAAAAATTAGATCTTAATCTTGAACTGTATGCTACGTTTTACGAAGAAGTCTGAACATTTCTGCTGAAAGCTCTCACTACTGAAACAGCCAGGGAGACAATTCCTTCTGTATTCACACATTCAGTAGAAAATAAGGGCTGTGCTGCCACAAACTGACAGTTCCTCTTGACAGTGACACCTAACTGCATCTGTAAGTCTGCTCTGAACAACATGGGAGGAAACGATGACAACTCTGCAAGCAACTACTTTCCTACACTAAACCAGCTCTGGAAGTGTGTGGGCAAATACACTGTCATCATTTCAGCCCTACACGGTGACATTCATTATTATTTCTGCTCTTCTGACAGCTTTTTTTAAGAAGTCACAAGATCATCATGCACACACAAAGCAATAGTTTTCATCAATAAAATATCTATTTGCTTCACTTTTTAAAAAAATACAATCTGTCTTCAGTAGAAGTCTGCTTTGGCTTGATTTAGAAATAAAATGTATTATGTTGGTATGTTATTATGTTGATACAGGTTAGAAAAGAACAGACAAAAACCATTACTGTAATATTTGCCCATGTGTCCTGTTTTTTTCCTTCCCCTTTATAGTGTCTGGTATGATGCTACATTTTTGCTTTGGGAGAAAAACACATTGATAACACATTGATGTTTTAGCTGTTGCTGAACAGTGACAAGGATGACAAGGATGATTCAATTTCTCGTGCTGTCCTGTTAGTGAGGGGAACTAGAGGGGACAGAACCAAGGCCGCTGAGCTGAGCTGGCCAAATGGCTATTCCATACCATACAACAACATGCGAAAAAGCTTTTAAAACTGTGGGGAGTTGGCCAGGGTGTAGCCACTGCTCGAGGACTGGCAGGGCACAGGTCAGTGGATAGTGAGCAACTGTTTTGTGCATCACTTGCTTTCTAATATTATTATCATTATTACTACTCCTTTTGTCTTCCTTTCCCATATCAGTGAATAGTTTTATCTCAACACACAAGTTCTACTTTGTTGGCTGTTCTTTTTTTTTTTTCCAGTTCTCTCCCTCACCTCTCTATGAGCAGGGAGTGAGCAAACAACTGTGTGCTGCTGAGCAGCCTGCTGGGTTAAGCCACAACATCTTGTTAAAGAAAACACCAGGCTTTCCTCTTATTGATAGCTTACAACACCTCCTCCTCCTTTCTGCCTTTGTCCACTGGTTGTTTTAGATAATGGATATAAAGAGTGTCAACAGTTTTCTTTAAATAGCAGCACAACCTACGAAGTGCATGATTACCTTTAACAGGTCTCCTTAATGTGAACAGCCATCTAATATTAATCTTTAAAATTCAGTTAGAGGAAAGCATGATAATGAGCTCGAGGTAATCTTAATAACTAGGTATGAGATGCCCTGGTATTGCTTTCCAATAAATCATCCTTGGTATTCAGGGCAGCGCTCAGTTTCCTGTTACAGCATATTAAGGAGTGGAATCCTGTCTCAATTAAGTCAGTAAGAATTTTTTATTGACTTTGGCAGAAATGACAGCTTACCCCAGATTTTCAAAGCACGTGTCTGCATTTGTGAAGCGCAATGTTATATTCCACTGTATTTGCATTAAAACAAAGGTGAGACAGAATAAATAACAACTTCTATTATTGTTTGCTTGTCTGTTTGTTTTACATCCAAGATAATCTGTTTTAAATTCTGGTGGGTCTGTGCAGAATTGTAAAGCCTGGTGGGTGTTCCATGGACTTGTCATGGGAGTGTAGCAATTTCTTTATGTG